ACACATTAATAACACGCAATAACACATGAATAACGCGCAATAACACATGAATAACACAGGAGGGAATATTCTCCGTGTTACTGCGCCGTTTTTTTTTGCTCTACCGCGCGAGATGTCGTGGCGTGTTTTGATTGGCTACGCACGTTATTTTTACGTGCGTAGTACTGATGTAATATTTCTTCTGCTTTTGCATGTGAGTTGGGAATCGGGTTCCCCGTTCGGGATGGCTCAATACAACTTGGAACTTAAAATCGAGATATAATCAAGTGATCTGACGAGTGACGTGTGTATTGTTTGGCCAAAGTTGTAAAATTTAATAGAATTGAGTTCATTGTGTGTTTTGGTTTCGTTTTAAAATAATAATTGATTTTTTGTTTTTGTTTTTAATGCCCCACCAACAAATTCCTTTTCCGAACATCTCGAGAAAACTTTTTTGCGTAAGAAATTTTCAAACTTTAATGAAGAGTCATCCAGAGCTCCAATTTCATCGAGTTTATAGTTAAATTGACCGTTTCGACGAGACAGACCCAATGATTCCAAATTTGGTCCAATCCGAACAAATTCAAGCCTCGATCAAGCCATTAAACTACTTTTGAAAATTTTTCGGGCATATTTGGAAGGTCAAACGGATGTCGAATCTGGTGAGCTCATGGTCTAATTGAACGTCTCTACAAAACGAATCCAACAAACTCAAGATCGCTCAATTCTGATTTCATTAAGACACTCAAATGTTCATCAAAGACGATATGATCATGGAAACCTCTCTAGGTTGTCCGAGCATAGTGGTTCATATTCCTTCATTAATTGCAACTGAGACTCTATAAATAGAAATCCACCTCTCTCCTAAGAATATGGAGAGAGCTTGAGACTTTGAGAAGGAATTAAAGTCCAACATCACCACCGACTGCATTCGACCACCACCGATTGGTCGCCTTCGATCGCTATCGTCACCACCCGTTCCTTGCAACAAGTTTATATGTACGTCGACGTTGTAATTCGGAAGACTTGGTAACCCTTATCCAATTGTGGGATAATGAGTTTTTGTAATCATCAACTTATAGCGGATCTCTTCAATTGGGCTATACACCGTGGTTTTTTCCCTTTTCGAGTTTTCCACGTAAAAACTTCTAGTGTCTCAACTGGTTATTTCTTTTATTTGAGTGTTTGTTGAATTATAGTGGAACGCTAAGAAGATAATCCATTACTCTTCAATCGCAAATTTTCTAGCACGGATCAGTTTTAAATTTTGAATATTTGTTTTTTTTTATTTTTCAAATTGATTTTATTATTAATTAAATAATAAAGAAATAAAGAAACTCAATTATTATTAGGACCAAAAAATTATATTCATTTTGGATGAAAATAAATTGAAAATAATGACATTTATTTTAATTTAGATTGAAATTTTTGTAAAGAAATTGTGAGAAGATAAAACAATTTAAATTTGAAATAGAACTTTAAAATTTAATTTGAAATAGAACCAAATATCAAATTTTAGTTTGCCTTAAACAAAACCAGTTAAATTAAATTATAATTTGGTTTAGTTTTGATGTGCATCAACAATTTTTTATCATTTGGAATGGATCTCAAAATATGACACGAATCCTAAAATATTTTTTAGCATGAAATCTACAAACTCGAATTGAAAATCCTACAAAACTTGATTTCTATAAACTTATAATCAAAGACCGGCTCGATGTGGTGAACCCATGAATGAAACCAGAATTGATTCCATTATGCCATTTTTAAAGGTTTTAAGTGGCTATTTAAAAGGCCAAATGGATTCCAAATAAGACAAACTTCTTGTGGAATTGAGCGTCTCGATGAGATGAATCTAACGAGCTCAAGATCACTCAATTTCGACATCATTAATGCACTACAATGTTCGCAAAATATTGTCTAATCATGAGAATCTTTTTGAGTTGTTTGATAGAGTGATCTAAATTACTTATTTACAGGTAAAGTAACTCTCAAACTCTATAGATAAAGCCCACCATCTTCATTAAGGGAGAGCTAGATCTAGAGTCGGACGTGAAATGAGTCAAATTCTAGTGTTGTTATGGACTGAAGACCTGACAATCTTTTCTAGCTCCCGCAACAGCAGGCCACCGTCGACCGTTGCTCGTCGTTCTTCATCGACAACTGTCGACTGTCCTCTGTTCTTTGAAATGAAGCACCGTGATGAATAACGACCTACGTCGCAGAGTAACAAATCACCTTACAGAGCTGCGCATCATTCCAAAGACTATTCAACGACACACCTCAAGGACGGTGCACTGAAGCCCCAAAAACTAATCCCAATTGCGATTGCTCCTGATTATTTTACAATGATTCACTTTGCATATGAATAATGTACTTCAAGGAACTGTTTACTCTTTTTCCACTTGTGGGACAAGGATATGCACGTGTACTCACAAATTTATAATGAATCATTCTAACTATACTAGACCCTGTGATTTTTTTCCTTTTTGAATTTTCCACGTAAAATTTTTTTATATTTGTACGTGTCGCTTCTACAACCTATGTGTGCGCTAGAATTTGTGTTCGGTTAAGATTCTCATTTATTGCTCTTCCGCCGTAAATTTTATGGTTTTTGTTTCACTAATTTGTGGACCAATGAATCCAAATTAAGTATTTGACACCCATAAATTGACAATTTACAAGTTTAATCTTCTCAATTTCGAATTCAAACTCATATAATATTATGTGAGCAACAATATGCGCTCCAATTAGAGCTTATGATTTGATAAAATTAACTCGCAAGTTCATTAAAAAATGAAGTTCAAATCAACTCGTAAGCCGACCATTGGATTGCATGTAGATCTATGTTATTATTTTATAACAATGCTTTAAATAGCAGTAATGCATCATACTTTTAATTAATTTTGTGTATATCTTACATATACGTGGTATAATAAAAAACAATCAGTCAACTTCTTCCCATGTTATTTCTAAGTGATAGGTAAAAACAATCATCACTCTTATACAATTATGTAAAGTTTAACAATTTCTATTCAACATATGCAAAAGTTATGATGTAATAATCATTTAAAAATATTTTTGAGTGAGAATGTATTTAATTTCTTTTTATAATTAATTTTTAATGAGCATGAATAGTAAAAAATAAACAACTCTACCCATGCCCTCACCCCCGTGGTCTTCAGGGCATGCTAATTTTGCGCGAGCATATATACAACTAGGGGTGTAAATGATCCGAACACTAACGAATATAGGGCATGCTAATTTTGCGCGAGCATATATACAACTAAGGGTGTAAATGATCCAAACACTAACGAATATAGCTCGTGCTCGTGCTCGTGTTCGTGTTCGTGTTCATTTGAAATTACATATGTTTGAAATATGATCGTGTTTGAAATTGTTTGTAAAGTTACTGTTTGTGTTTGGTTTGATTTGTTTGAAATGTCTTTGAAATGTTTGAAATGCTCGAATTGTTTGAATTATTTGAATTGTTCGAAATTTTACAAATTTATTTGTATTGTTTGATCATTCAAATAATTAATCTTTCTAAAGCTTAAGCGTGTATGAAATAAATGCTTAAACCTGTATGAATCACAACAAAAATACAAAATAGCCGAAGCAAAGCTCACAATAAAACCATAATATCATATATTATCCATAAAAAAAATTCAGATCTAGAGGCAATATGTAAGATTTCACTCCAAAACAAGAAACCAAATAAATCTTAAAGAAATATAAGAAAATTTAAGCTAAGAGACGAACCTGAAGAAATAAATATTTTAAATTATTTTATATTTCGAATGATAACGATTCAAACGCGATCGATCAGATGACTATTCGTGTTTGGTTTGTTTATAAACCGAACGAAAAAAAATTATTCGTGATCGTCTTATTTGCTTGTTGGGCGAATCCAACACAAACTCTCCGACGAACTGAACACGAATTATTCATGAACAATGAGTTTTTTAAAATTTGTAATTCCGAGGGGGTATTTAAATGTGGGAGCAGCAGAAAGCCACAAAGTTGGGAAGATAAAAT